CTTATGTGTTTCAGATGGGCGTATAAAAAAGGCTATTCAAAGCTTAAAAGCTTACGCACAGATCGAGCTTAAAGCTTATCGATTAATAGCTATAAAAGAGTATAAGCTTAACGAATTGTAAGATATACACTAATAGTTTATTATTAAAAGTAGTTGTATAGCTATTAGCAATTAATTAAGGGTAAATAATGTATTTAGATTATACGGTTAATTGCGCCGAATCAATTGTAACCTTTGTAACTTTTGTAACTTTTATAACGTTGATAATTTTGTATGATTATACATGCTAAGCCGATGGATTTAGCAAAAGCGAAAATTTACTTGTGTTACAAAAGTTACAGAAGTTACAAAAGTTATAAGAGTTACAAGAGTTACAAGAGTTACAAGAGTTACAAGAGCTATAAGCTATTATATAAAATATTATATAAATATATTGTTATACCGACGAATACAGCAAGTATGAGAATTTGGCTGAGCACGGACCTTTTTAAAAAGTGAATTCGTTTGTTACTTTTCAATATTTACTATAATTTAAATATTCTTCTTAACCTTAACCTTAACATCAACATCAATTTTAACTTTAACCTTACTTTTAACCTCAACTTCAACTACAACTACAACTACAATTACATTCGCAATATGATCTCACTCCGTTAGCGCAACCTTCGAGACGGACTTTATACAAGGCGGGTAGGTCGGCCGGATTCGGCCTAAAAGCGGCAAGTACAACTACTTCGCAAGCAGCAGTAGCTGCTTTTATACCCCTTCCCCCCCCCTTAATAAGCCTTGCCTCTTGCCTTGCTTGTTGCTTTAATTAAGCCCGCGATGTAAGTGATAAGTAATACACTTTAGCTACCTACGTTAATATTATTATATATAGATTTAATTAAGACGACGATGATAATGAAAATGAGCTAATAATCTCTCGCTCTCCTTTCCCCTTTCTCTTTTATACCGTCTTCGCCGTCCTCGCCGTCCCCGCCGTCCCCGCCGTCCCCGCTGCTGCTTTGCTTCTTCTTCTTTCTCTTTTTCTCTCTGCTATAGATTTAGCAATAAAAGAGGTCGAGAAAAAGGTAGAAGAAGATAAAGTGATAGAAGATTCTAAACTCTTAATATAAGTCATCTTAAGATTAAGTGATACATTCGAGTTACTTACGCTAATTATATATATATATATAGATTCGAAGACGACGATATAAATAAGCTAATGATCTCTCGCTCTCTTTTCCTTTCTCTTTTCGTCCTTTCCGCGCTATCGATTCTTATTAGCGTCCCGGCTCTTAGCTTCGCCCCGGCTCTTATATTCTTCGCCGCCGCCGTGCCCTCCTTTGCTACGCCACCTGCTACCCTTCGCTTTATAAGCTTTAGACCGATCTTACCTTTACAATAAAGCACAAGCGTAAGTATATTTTCACATCTTTTATTAATGCTTATTGATCAAATCAATAGATGTTTGCGTCCCCGCCGGCCGTTAGTGAAAGGACCCCTTTTACTAAGGCCTAGCTTGAACAAGCCTAATCGACTGCCGGGTTTGCGCGGCTCCTTTAAGCCTAAACTACCTAAAAGAAGAACAAGGACCTATACACGCCTTCCGTTATAAGCATATAGTGGTCGTATAAGCAATCGGACTTGTTAAAGCTCCTTTCTCTTCGCCGTGCTGTCATCGGCCACGTCGGCCGTATTATAAAGACCGAATTGTAAGAATTACTTTCTTTTATCTTCTAGCAACCTTAAGCTAATACAAATATATAAGGATAAGCTAATAGACCCGCTTTGCGATGCGTGCGCTACTACCCGCCAAGAGTGCTAGGCATACTCTTCAGCCGGTAAAGCACAAATATCTAATTCAGAAGATGCGTATGCTCGCTGTCGGTGGTCTCTTCGGAAGTGTACTGCGTCTAAGAAGAGCCCACGTAAGAAACGTGGACCTGGACCCCCTTCTCTTGCTCGAGACCTCCCTCCCCCCCTCCCCCCCCCCTTCCTCCAGGTGCACCTTTTACAGCTGGGTTAAAGATTCGGGTTTAGACCCTCTTTAATGCATATTCTTAAACCTAATAACTCTTATAACTTTTGTGACTTGTATGATCTTATAGCTTCTGTAACTTCTGTAACTTTTGTAACCTTTGTAACTTCTGTAACCTTTGTAACTTTTATAACTTTTGTAACTTTTGTAACTTCTGTAACTTCTATAACTTCTGTAACTTCTATAACTTCTGTAACTTCTATAACTTTTGTAACTTCTAATATTTTCGTAATATAAGTAAATATAT